CTTTGCATCTTTTCTCCGCACACGCCAAACAATCGACTTTTAAGTTTTTACCCGTAGAGCTGGTTCTTTACACTTTCACAACCGGCTGCAAGTTTCAACAACCAGGTCTCTGCACATTTTTAAACCTTTTGGTCCATCTTTAGTGTTGTCAAAGTTTATTTACTTTGCAATCTTTTGACATTTTAACTACACACTTAAATAAGCCAATTAGTCACTCAAATGTATTTTGTAATAATCAAAATCATATGTACAACAAAAAGAGGAAGAAGAGTAAAAGGATGATAGAAAAAAGAGAGGAAATGAAAAAGAAGAGGAAGGAAAGAAAGAAAATAGTAAGAAAAACCAAAAAGGGATGAGAATAAGAGAAATCAGAAAAACGAGGGAACAGTTGGGAGGTTGCTGGTAATATATAGGGTTTATACAGATCGAAATCAATCTGAAACTAATACATCAGTGCTTGCCCAGGCTACCAAAAAATTTAGTTTTTTGGGGAAATTTTGGTGGCACCAAATTACAGATCGAAATTAGTTTGAAAATAAATAAATGAGTGCCAACCCTAACTACCAACAAAAAGCTTTCAATTTTTTCATGAAATTTTGGTGGCAAAAAATGTACAGACCAAAATCAATCTGAATATTTAATAATTAAACAAGAATCGATTAAGATCAAAATTGGCTATATTTAGAACAAATACAGTCCATATATAATTGTTTGGACCAAAGATGGTCCGAATATATGCCAAGAATCTAGAAACTTCTCTTAGTACACTTTTTTATTCTTTTCATTTAAGGACATCACTACCCTCTTGTACCCCGATTCCATTGTTATGAAAGCAAATTGTGCACACATCGACACTACAATCCCCCCTAACCCCGAAACCATCAATTGTCCACTTAAAATTGTTTAACAGTGGCGGGGGATGACATCATTGTAAAATCACAAACATATAAGTGCACAACTATTAACTTTAAGGTTGGGTCGTGTCATTACAAAGCCACAAACGCAAAGGTTTAAGATTATTCAGCTAACGTTAGCCTCTTTGCCACACAAACATGCAGAATCCTGTGGTTCAAAATGAGTGCGGAACGAATTGGGTGCAAGATAAGGCAATAGGTGAAAACACTACACACTAGGCATATATTCAGACCAAAAACGATCCATATATCATATTTTGGACCATATTTGGTCTAAATATGCACCTAGAATCTAGAAGCTTATCCTCTTACACCTTTTCATTCATTTCGTTTAAAGACATTTGGAATTCTATTTAATTTTTTGTTTTAAAATTAATTTATTAAATACTATAATAATATTTTATATATTGTGTGTTTCTTATTAAAATTTTGTTAATATTTTCTTCTTTATATTTATAAAATTTTATTTATTTTATATTAACTATTAATTTTAATTTATTAAATACTTCAATTAAATATTTAATCCAACATAATATTATTATATCGATTATATTAATTATTTTAATTATATTTCCACGCAAGCATTCGGAATCTTACGGTTCAAAATGAGAGCAGAATGAATTGCGCATGCGATAAGGCATAAGGTGAAAAAAGTGCATACAAGAACATATTCAGACCAAATATAGTCTGTGTATTATTTTTCAAACTATCTTTGGTCCGAATATATGCCTAGAATCTAGAAGCTTCTCTTAGTACGCTTTTTTATTCTTTTTGTTTAAGGATATCACTACACTCCCGTGCCCTAATTCCGTTGTTATGAAAGCCAAATTGCATGTACATCGGCACTACAGTCACCTCCAACCCTGGAACCATCAGTTGTCCATCTGACATTGTCTAACAATGGTGCGGGGTGACATCGTTGCAAAATTACAAATGTATAAGTGCAAGGTTATTAGCTTTAAGGTTGGGTCGTGTTCTTCCAAAGCCACAAATGTGGAAGATTGAGTTTATTTGGTTAAGGTTAGCCTTTTTGGCACACAAACATTCGGAATCCTACAGTTCAAAATGAGAGCTAAATGAATTGGGGGCGAGATAAGGCAATAGGTGAAAAAGCTACACATTGACTATATATTCAAACCAAATATGGTCTATATACATTATACGGACTGGTTTTGGTCCGTGTAACTTATAAGAATCAGTTTTGGTCTGTATATATATGAGAGCTCTCGATCATTTGATTGAGAGATTGCATATATATACGGATCATTTTCAGTCCATATAATCTATACTAACCAAAATCAGTCTGTATATATACGTAGTCTCTCAATCAAATGATCGAGAGTCTTCATATATATACGAACCAAAACCGATCTATATAAGTTATATAGACCAAAACCAATCCGTATATCTATGAGGACTCTCAATTAAAAGATTAAGAGTTTTCATATATGTACGAATCAAAACCGATCTGTATAACCTATACAAACTGGTATCGGTTCGTATATATATGTAGACTCTCAATCTTTTAATTAAGAGTCTACATAGATATTTGGATAGAAACCGGTTTGTGTAGTTTATATAGACCAAAACTGGTTTGTATATATCGGCGTTTCATTTAATTTGATTTTTATGATATGTAAAGGATTTAATTGATATTTAAAATAAAATATTTGACAATGTGAAAATATTCTCACATAATTTATGATATTTATGATATCAAATGAAAGAAAATTTTGTTCATTTACTACAAATATATAAGTTTTCAATATTTACTACAAATATAAAGTAAATACAAATGTTTAATCCAAATATAAAAAGCATACATATCTCGTGGTGTCCTAGGGGTAACAATGCCATTGGTATTCCGTTGGGCTCATCCCTAAATGTTAGTAGAGTTGCTGCATCTATGTAGCAAGGATCAATTGTGATTGCTATAGACTCGCATTATCTACCATAAGGGTCATCTGTGATTGTTGAAGGCCATCATTATCTGCCTTCAATGCTTGAATAGTATGCTCTAATTACTCTACCTTACTAGATTGTCCTATGATGGGTGGTCTGAACGGTTCTCGTCTAGATGTGCTCACACCTATATCCTGGGGATGTGTGTGAATGTCCAAATCTTTTAGCCATCCTTTCTTGACCCCACCAGTTGCCCTAACTAATAACTCACCATGAGCTATTGTAGGATCAAAACCTTCTTCCTCTTACCTAACAGCATATGCAGTTGCCAATTTTTCTTGAAATCATATAAAACAAACAAAATGTATTTAAAATTAAATTGAAATTTAAAATATCAGTTTAGGAAATTAAATAAAATTTCACTTAAATTCAATTTACTCTCCCCTAAAAGGCTGGAGTTCTAACTTTTTACTAACAACCATATTGTACAATAGTTTCAATATTGTAACTAAAATAATTTTAATTAATTCAAAACACGATTTAAAATAAAATTTGGGAGAGTCTCCTTTAAACATATTTTGTCACAATCTTCTCTTAAGTTGCTACACCACTTAAATAAAGAATAATAAAACCCAGTCACCTTACACTTCAACAAGATTTATATAATTAGTAGCTTCTTCTATTCAATAAACTTCTTCTATTCAATAAACTTCTTCAACCATTCAAAATTCAAGCTTAAATTTGACAAATCATATTATTAAATACTTACGCCAATTTCTTGAGCCTCATCATTACAATATACAGGCAGTTGCTCTTTTCCTCTTACTTTGTGCTGCCTTCTACTAATGTAGAGCTCAAGAAATGTTAGTGGACGACCCTCGGGGTTTGCCTATTGTTATAAAGAAAAAAAGGGAGACCAAATATTAAAATCAATATAAAATAAATTTTAAATCATAGTTCATTAATTATTTATTAAAAATATGTAACTTTTATACAATTTTCTTTTTATAAACATTGATGTCCATTGAACCACTAGTGTGCATCACCCTTGGTCCTTTTACCTGATTTGCCTTTATAGAATTTGACCTTCTCAGATGACCCTCGTCTTGTAAAATTGATGAACACATATAATTTCTTAATTAGTAATATAATAAAAACATTAAGCATTACAATTGAAAATTAAAAATAAAATAAAATAAACACATGAATTTAGTCTATTATCGTAGTCCATAAATGAACAAGCCTCACCCATAACTCTGGATTCATAACTAGAGGTTTAACTTGAAAGTTTTTCTTTGCACACTTAACTTTTAACTCACTAAGTGCATGCTTGAACTTGATCCGCGCAGTCATATTCCACAAATCGTTTCCCTTCTTATGAATTGCAAGGTCCCATTCATATGTTTGTTGAAGAAAATAGAAATATAAATAAATAATTAATTTAATAAAAAATTATCAATGATAATAACCAAAAAAATTCAAACTACTTAAAATTTGAAGATAGAAATTGAAAAGATCTAATTTGTAGATAGAAATTAAGTGTTTAGGACATACATAGAATATATTTCAATACATATCCCAATGCTTAGCAAGGAGTTGTCCCCACGATATGTAAGCATCTAGGAGATTCTCCCACAATTGGATCATAATCTATCATTTGAACTTTTGTGGCAAACCACCATACTCATCTAGTTCTAATGGGATCTTTGTCCCATTGTAGGCATCTACGGGGACTTAGCTTGCCCTCATCCATGTCTCTGTTGAGGGGTAACCACACTTATCTCCTCATCACTGGGAGACTCAGCTTGTATATTAGCACCTAAAGTTGGAGTCTCCACAATCACATCAGTAGGATCCTTCCCCTGAACTCGCCTCTAGGGGTCAAACGGGTTTGGCCATTGTAGCAGTTGGGTGGAATCTATCTACAGTCTCCATGCAATGGGAACTACAGCAATCAACTATAAAAAATAAAACAAATACCAAAAAAAAATCATTAATAAAGTAATTTAAATGCAATAAATTACTATTAAAATCACAATAAAAATTAAAATACTTTTAATTTCTATAGATAAGCAAATAATAATCAAATTACATTTTAGTTAAATAACATACGGTATAACGAATATAAATAAAAACAATTATATAAATATTAACAAAAAATAATAAAATTAACAATAACAAAACATAAACGTATAACTTTTATTCCAATTAATACAATTATAGAAGTATAAATAAGCAAATATAAACTTGAAAGTAACAATAACATTATATAATTTTAAATTAAATAACATATAATACAACTAATATAATTATAAAAGTACAAACAAGCAAATATTAACCCTAAATATAACAATAAGTTTCTATAAATATTATTGCCTACTCATCACTACTATCATTCTCCTCAACATATGTTTCTATGTTTTCTTCTTTTGATATCTCAAAATCTTCCCATTCCCTTTCTTCATCCTCTTCCCCAATCCCTTTCCCAACATCAGCTTCTTCATGTATTTCAATAAACCTCCCATCATAATATTGCACAAGTTCATAAGCAATGTCATCGATATTTATTGGTTGGGGAATATGAGGCTCATCATCTTGGAAATATGGTGCCAACCCTTCTTGTTGGTCATCTTTATTCTCAAGAGCCTTAATGATGCTCATAGCCTTAATTTTAAGTGTAGCAATCCATCCCCTTCTTTCATGATTAATAGATGGGTATGGTGTGTAATAAATTTGCCTTACCTTACTAGTAAGAATGAAAGGCTCATAAGATTGAAGGTATCTTTTGGGATTAATGTCAACCAATTGATGTTTTTTATCCACTTGAACCCCTTAAGCAGGAGGAATCTCATATCAATCACATTCGAATAAAACAACTGCTTGTCAATAGATCGATCCATGGTAGTCAATCTGAATTATTTCTTGAAACACACTATAAAAATCATAATCTAATTCAGCACCAATAGATTCGACAACACAAACACCATGTAATATCCCAAATTTTCTAAAAACCTTAAACTTTAAATTAAGGACTTATGTGAGAGAAATTATTATTGCTAGGCCTAATGACCAAAATTCACAAACCTAAGGGGCGTTAGAAGGAAAATTGGTAATAAAAGGGGCTAAAGCTGATTTTCACTTTTGCTTTTGCCTTTTTTGTCACTTCCCCATAACTCCCATCAGACTTTTGCCTCACCAAGCTTGGCCTGTGCCCAACTTCCTCTCGCCAAGAATCAGGTGAGATTTGGTTATTTTCCTTCCTCCTAAGTCTTATTTAGAGTTTTGTAGACTTATGATTCTAAAACCATGATCCATCTATATCTTGCTACTGTAGCGTTCTTCTCCAATTCCTGGTCCCTGTCGAGTAATGAGATCGACGTAGGAGGTCACCATTTTTAGCATTTTTTGGTAAGAAAAACAGCCAAAATCCATCCTTCAAGCCTTGATATCATCCTTAGCTTTGCAACTTAGGGTGGGAAGTCTCTTTGAGGCATGAATTTGAACCCCAAAATTTTACTGTTTATGCGTGATTTTCATGTGGTTTCTTGCATAATATTTTGCTTATTAGAGTTGGGTAGTATGTTGTTTGAAATTTCCTTCCTAAAAGTTGCTTGAGGGTTTCAATTTTTGTAGCCATTTTGCACTAGTTGCTGGTATAATTCTAAATTTTTCTACACTGCTCTTATTGTTGCCATGCCTTGTTTCTACACAAGTCTGCTGTTTTGTTTGGAAATTCTGCTGTTTTGCCCATGAATTTGCTACTATTTTACCTAGAAAATCCTACTGTTTTTGCCATAAAATTCTACTATATAACCCAGAAAAATTCTGCATTCTTCTACATTTTCCTTAATGTTTTTTGCACTATTTTAGCCCAGAAAAATTATGCATTTTTTACTGCATTTTCCCTGCTATTTTTGCACTGTATAACCCAGAAAAAATTCTGCATTTTCCTTACTGTTTTCTGCACTATTTTAGCCCAGAAAATTCTACACTTTTATTGCATTTTCCCTGCTGTTTCTGCACTGTATAACCCAGCAAAAATTCTGCATTCTTCTTCATTTTTCCTTACCGTTTTCTGCATTGTTTTTGCCCCAGAATTTTTCTGCCATTTGCCAAAATGTTGTGGCTCCCTGCCGAAAAGGTTTGGAAGGTCAACTGTCATCTTTGGAATTTTTTTTAATATGACTATGTGTGTGAATTAATATATATATATATACTAGTAAGGTTTTCATGGGTAAAATGGCAAGAGGAGATAGGAAGAAATTGTTCATTTGGGATAGAACTTGGTATTAGAATTAAAGATCAATTTTGGTTGAATGAGGCATGTTGTAAGCCTGTTGTTCTTGATTATGAAATAGGTTCTAAGTCACCACCATCTCCTTGAAACCTTGAATACTTGATGTTGTAAGCCTACAAGAAAAGGTAAGTAAAAGTATGGTAATGCCTTTGGATTTGAGGTAAAGGTTTTTGAAAGCATATTTATGATGATGTTTGAAATCATGGTAGGACTAAACCCGTTTTACACAAACACGGGTATAATTGGTTTGAAATGAAATTATTATCATTTTTATTAAGCATGTCTACTTGGAGTTTACTTGACTACCCTAATGATCGGGAAATTATTTGTAAATTATAGTTTTCCCGTTAAATCCTGCTTGGTTTTTGTCTCCAATATGGTCATGTTTTACTATGCCCGTTAGTGGGAGGTTTATAAATGCTAGTACATATCAACATGTTAATTGTGGAATCGGTTCACGTTATACTATTATCTTGCTAGTGGGATTATACGTTAGCAAATCTTGTGCCTGCTAGTGGGAGGTTTATAAACACTGGTTATGACTTATAGAGGAGGCATCTATTTCATTTCCCATATTCGTATTGTTTTTCTTAAAATTTTATTACACTTGATGGCATGCTTAACTATAAATGAGGGTTATCCATTTTTTACTTACTGAGATATCTCATAGTTTTTCCTTGTCCACCATTTCAAGTAGTGAAACCTGAGATGGAGGAAACCAAGGGGAGTGATGAGATCTTGTCTTTTGGAGTTAGGTTGCCAAAAAAAAAAAAAATTTTGGGACATAGCCTTTGGATCATAGAGCATTCTTTTGTAGACCAGACTTCCCCTTGGAGATAGTAATGGCTATATGTGATGGACTTGTATAAGTTTTTGTACACTATTGACCTAGTAAAGCCTTGGTCCTTGAAAGTTAAAATTTCAATTTTAAGATATTGATCTTAATTATGGATTGCTAGTTATGAATTAAGTAGGTTTGAGCCTTGTATATTTGTGGGATCTTCTCACAGGTGTACGGTGTCTGTTTCGCTCCTAATTCCGGAGCGTGACACATCATAATTCATTGTTCGCTTATTTCTACCATAGAGGGCAGTGTGAAATCTAAATTCATTGACAATATATCCATTATAGTAGGAAACATAATTTTTTGGAACGCTCAATAAGCCTGTGATATGCTCATGTACATTAATGAACTCACCACTAGTTACCTAAAATATACAGATTGAAGAAGAAAATGTTTGATGCATTTGAAGAGAAATAACATATGTTAAGGAATTGAATAGTCATATTATTAAATACTCACAGTTTGTTCAAACCAAGGTACAAGGTCTCTCTCTCGTTTTGCTTGAATTTGTTGAGGATTCATATTTTGACATTGTTCTCTCTCAAATAAACTAGAAAAATATAATAATAGTTTTTCATATATTATTAGTATTTTAATTTCAATGAACCTTAATATAACAAATTAAAGATATTAGTACCCATCTTTGGAATTCATTAACACATAATATGCAGTAGCTTTGTGTTCCTTTACTGTCAAGCAACGTCTTCCAATTTTGGAACCAATAGGTTTTCCAACACATTTAAAGATGGATAGGCCACTATTATCATCAAATCCAACAACAATATTCTTAGGGGGATGATCAACTGTACTATGTTTTCCACTATCAAAGTAACGAGACATAAAATTTGTGATCTCAAACATTATATAACTTTTACATATGGATGCTTCAAGAGATGCTTTGTTCTTCACCGTCAACTTAAGATAATGCATTTGCCTGATTCACCAAGAATTATTAAGTTATGACTAAAATACTAACTTGGTACCTCAACTTTTAATTTTGTATCAAAAATACCCTCAAAGTTTAAAAAGTTCTAAAATGGTCCTTGAAAAGACCTTTTAGAATTATTTTCTAAGTTCAATGGCAGCTTTGATATAAAATTGAAAGTTGAAGTACCAAATTGGTATTCTAACCTCAATGCAACTAAATATCATATATGGAGTTATATTTATTCTAATACATTATACATTAATTATATTTATCTCTTAAATGGATATATCCATCGAAATTGCACTAGTCTTCCTACACGAGTCTTATATGGAAGGTGGATTGCAAGATGCTCCATACAGTCAAAGAATGAAAGTGGAAAGATTCGCTTTAGCTTACAAATGATTTCTACTATCCTTTCCTGCCATATTGCCATGTCATTGACCTGAATTATAGGAGCACACAAGGCCCTAAAGAACTCACTAATCTCAACAAGTGGCTCCCAAACTTGTTTCAGTAATAAACCATGAAATGCAATTGGTATAAGACTTTACATAACAACGTGACAGTCATGACTTTTCATTCCGAATAATCATGCCTCTTATATATTGACACACTGAAATATATTGGAGGCAAATCCATTAGGGAATTTAAGTTCCGTTAAGAATTGGCATATTGATTTTCTTTGATCCCTACTAAGAACATAAGTGGCCTTTAGTTTTTTACCCTAAATATACTCCTGTTTTCTGTATGTGCTGACTTTTCCTTTTACAATACAATTCCATATCAAGTCTTGCATTTATGTTATTTTTTGTCACAAGGTCATCCATTACTATATGAAGGATATTGTCAAAAAAGTTTTTCTCACACTGCATGACATCTAAATTGTGTCGAATCAAATTTGTGTGCCAATATGGTAATTCCCAAACGACGCTTTTTTTAACCCAGTTGTGCACTTCACCAAATTCATGGATTTCTTGTTTCTGAGGTGGCTTACCAAATAGTATATCAAATAGCCAATGGATGTGACTGCGCAGGTCATCACTTGGCAATCTCTCTAGCATTGTTCCATTCTCTACATGACCCTTCATGAAGTCATTCTTATTTGTCCTAAATGGATGATCCGGTGGCAAAAACTGTTAGTGGCAATCAAGAAATTATGTCTTCCAACCGTGTTCCAACCAAAAGGCCTTTGAATTTTCCATGCAATAGGGACAAGATAATTTACCATGTTTGCTCCACCCAGACAACATTGTATACCCAGGGAAGTCACCAATGATCCACATAAGTGCAGCCCTCTTCATGAAGTATTGATGCCTAAAGTTGTCATAAGTTTGGACTATAGAATACCAAAATTGTTTAAAATCATTGATTAGTGGTCAAAGCATTACATCAATATTCCTTCCAAGACTTTAGGGACCTTAGATAATCAATGAAAGGAATACATATTCTTGCTTCATGCATATGGTTGGAGGCAGGTTATAAACTGATACAAATACTAGCCAATAGGAGTACAGAGATGCAATTGTCCAAAAAGAATGAACCCATCGGTGCACAGACCCAACCTAACATTCCTCGGTTCACTAACAAACTTAGGGTGAATGCAATCAAAATGCCTCCATGCATCTCCACATGTAGGATGAAAAATTTTTTCATTTTCCTTTTCATTACAACAATTTAAATGCCAAGTCATATGCTTGGTAGTTTTCCTAGACATGTACAATCTCTGAAGTGTTGGAATAATTGTAAGATACCACAAAGATTTTCTAGGTATAGGCTTAGCAAAATGAACATCACGCTGCTTAAATCGTGGCTCTCCACATACCGGGCATGGTAAATAATACTGGCTTTCAAATTCTTCATAGTATAAAAAGCAATTGTTCACACAAACATCATACTTTTTATACCCAAGACATAGATGCCTCAACATCTTCTTGGCACTATAATAATCTATTGGCAATTTCTCCCGATCAACTTTTTTGAAGGCCATTAGACTGTTTTAGCACATAGTCCCAATTAGTAACACTCATGTTGAAAAGTGTCTTTGCACTCATGAGCTCACACACCCACTTTAAGACAATGACACCATCATCACACCCATCAAAAAGAGGTGTGTCAGCTGTTCACAAAAGATCAAAGAACTCTTTTACATCTCTTCTTGGCTCCTCAAATATTGATTTTGTACTAACACTATATGGATCATCAAAACTAGCGTCAAATTGTGTTGCATCTTTTACCTCTATGGCACTATTTTTATTATTAAAAAAATTTCGTCCCATGGCATCATAAAGCATGTCTCTAAGTTGATCGACACTTGGAACATCATTCATAGCAACGGTAGCAACAGTAGCAACAACAACGCAGCACTTGATGATTCACTCACTTGGGTGCAACACCATTTTCTATGAATAATTTTCCCGTGTCTTTTCCAAATAAGATACCCATCCATGAAGCCGTTCTTGATAAGATTGGATTGCACTTTATGTCAATGATGCCATTCTCTATTCCACCACTTACTACATGGATACTGAATTATATTCTTTGCACAAAATATCGAGTCTGTTTGTGAGAATGCAAAATCTAAGAAAATTTATACCCCAACATTAAATTGATTGTTCCAATACCCCATTTTATCTTGACAACGATACGTCCAATTGCGGTTTTCTTCCGTAATTAAGTAGTACTTGCCTTAAATATTCAACAATAACTTAATATCATACAACAAGCATTAGAATCATAAATAAAATTTTAAAATGGTCAAATATCAATTTTTGTCCATCAACTTTAAAATTTACACAATTTTCATCCCTTAATTTTTTAAGCACTTTTTTGGCCCTTCAACTATGAATAATGTACATTTTTAGTCCTTCTATCTATTTAATCTGTTAAGTTTGTTTAGCACATTGATGAAAGGATTGAAAATATAAATTATTCATAGTTAAGGGACCAAAATGAGCAAAAAAAAGTTAAGGGACAAAAATTATGTAAAATCTTAAAGTTAAAGGATCCAAATTAGCATTTAACTTTTTAAAATTACATATACTACAACAATATAATTACACTTTTAACCAACTAAAAATATACCTGATTTATTTGATCTTTATAATTAATTAAAAAATAATGAAAGTTAATTTGTTATATATTAATTATTATCATTTAATTTTATAAAATATAAATACAATAAAGAATATGTTGTTAAAAAAGTTTAATTATTACATTTTAATTATTATAATTTAATTTGTTATATCTTAATTATAATATAATTTAATTTGATATAAGATTAATTATACATCAATAATGATATATTAATTATTATACTTTAGTTTAATAAAATATAAATACAATATGAATTTAATTTAATTTATCTTCAATTTTTATATAAAAATTGAAGTTTTCAAACATTTTAAATTATTAGTATAAATATATTTAATTATAAATATAATAAAAATTTTGATACCATATTTAATATAATTAATTTACTAATAATTCATTATCTAAACTATGAATACAATATAATTTTGTCTACATTTTTCCTATACCATAAAAGTTTGTAAAATAATTGCAACTAAATAATCAAACTATTCTATACAAAAAAATTAACATCTAAATATATAATTTTTAATATTAATTTATCGTAAATTACTTATCTCAAAATATAATACATACACAACATGTTTTTCATATTTTATGTAACATAAAATCTTTTTACTATTCTTATAATTAAACAGTGAAATAATTCTATCTACTCTCCTACACAGTTTATATTTTTTTATACAAAACCAAAATATATTTTTACAGTTAATATTAAGAAATAATCACCATGCTAAAACACAAATTAGAAATAATATCAAGAGATATCAATTGCCAAAGACAAAATTAAAGATTTAACAACATTCTAATTTACCATTTTAATTATTAAATACAAATTTTACTTTATTTATTTACTCAAAATATAAAATATTAAAAAATTGAAATAATAAGAAAAAAATTCAAAAAACTCACTTATGGAGTAGATTGGAAATCAATATGGCTGTAGATGCCTAGATCCAGTGATAAAGGCTCTAAATCTGATGAAATAGATGATTAGGATGTTCGAAAAAAAAAAATCAACCATTGAGATTGTCGGCCTCTAACCGGCCGA